GAGCTCTGGAGCAGTTCCACCTGGTGGCTGCCTGAGAAAAGGCTGGCTGAGCTCAGAGGCCTCTGTGGACCCGCAGGAGCTGGCTGTCCTTCCCCTGTGCAAAAGTGACTCTCTGAGGGAACCTCAGTCACATCCCAGTGACCAGGACCCCAAAGACACCAATAGAACCAAAACACTCAGATGACCCTCTGCCCACTCAAAATGCACCCAGGGCTATGATCAGGGTAGGAAAGTGAAGTGTTACCGTGTCAGTGCACGGTCATGTTACAGGGATAGCAGACCACTTCAGAAATTGGACTAGAGCTACAGAAATGGGCTGTCTTCTATCTAGTGGTCCTTAGCCCTGGTCACACTTCAATATTGCTGGGAGAGAAAAATGGGCAAAAGATATGGGCAAATATCATGACAGCTAATTCTTACATCAAGTTCACTATGTGCCAGGCACTTAACAATCTCTAAAACCCCAAAGGGTAGATAATATCATTATCCTCATTTCACACATGAAGAATAGGGGGTGGGGAGGGGCAAGGGGTTAAATAACTTGCCTAAGGTCACACAGTCAATAGTGGCAAAGACAGGGTTTGAATCCACATAGCAGCCTTGTTTCAAGCACTAAGCTCTAAACCACTATGTTTCACCAAAAAAATTTACAAAGGACTGATCAAAACATGAAAAAAAACTGCTTCACCTCACCAGTGACCAGGGAGATGGTGTGGTGGAGTGGACATACTCAAATGTCCTTAGAGAATATAGTCAACTTTTTAGAGAGGTGATTTGTCAGGGCCTGTCAGTGTAAACTGTGAATTCCCCTTGGCCCAGGACCCCATTGCCAGAGATCTATGCTACTAGAATACACAGAAAGTCCTGTGTACACGAATGCTCCATTCTAGCACTGTCTGTCATCTCTGTATGTGACTCAGTAAAGCACCTGGCACTTGCTAGGCATGCCAGAACTATTTACAGAAATATATGAACAGTAAGTATGTATTTTGCTAAATAATGACATGTTTGTCCAAGAACTTCAATATTGCTAACAATTCAATACTATAATTCAATAGGACAAGTGTGACCAAGCTTATGTTCCCCAAAACTAAAAGAAATGAGAGAGGCTCTTCTCTCCCCAACTGTTTGTGCTGGGAGGATGGCCACTACCTACTGTGTTATTGTGGCTCCCCTGCTCCAGGACTCCTGATTGGGTTCAGCTAGTGGGAGGCATCAGCAGATCAGAAGGAGTAGTGAGGGGCTGGAGTTCTGATTCTCCTCTCCTCCCCTTCTGCACCCCCTCCAACTCCATGACAAGTTATAGTTTCCTCAGTGGCTGAAATCCCTTGCAGCTCAAACTAATCTCAGTTGTCTCTGAACAGCACCCCTCTTTTATGGCTATGACTCACACTGGTTTGGTGACACCTTTCCTTCCCCTTCAGGTCAGTTTCCATTGTTGCTAGTCTCCAGTTGCGTCACCATCCCCGATGCTTCCACGCACCTGCCCTCACCTCTGTAGATACCTCTCCACAAAACAGGCTTCAATTGAAGCCCACCATTTTGAGTTTACCATTTGTTTTGCTAGGACCCAAAGTGATTCAAGCTCAAAGTTTCATCCAGTGCACATTCACTGAGCACCAACTATGTTCTGGGAAGTCAATCTGGTACTTGTGTTACCAGCATAAGGAAGTCAGTCCTTCTACCTGCTGGCTCAGGGGAGCACTTGTAGCAAAGATTTCCCATGGGACCATATAGGACCTCTTCCTTCAAATTTGGTCAGGGCTTAGCTCTTTTCTAGGTGAACATGAATTAAGATGGTATTCATTCTGTTAAACGAATTCTTGTTCAAGTGTCAGTATCAGATAAATCTGAACCCATTTAAAACATCTATGCCTCTAGAAAGCTCCTAAGAATTTTATCTAACAGGACAAATGTAGTGAGTTTAAGGAGGCCAACGGGGAGATAAGTGGAAGTAAACCTGCTTCTCCTTAAGTGTCCCAATTTCAGAGAAGGTCACCACCAACCACCTTGTCCAAAACCCAGAGCCCTAACATCTCTTGCTCCATCCTTCTAAAACTCTCTCTGGTTCACCCTCTCCTATCCATCATCATTTCTACTACCTTGGTCCAGGTACTTACCTTTTCTTGTCTGGTTTGTGATGGGCATGAGAAGTGGATTGTGTCCTTATCTGTGAATTCCCAGACTACCACTGTGTCCGGCATATGGTGGACCCTCCATAAGACTGAATGCATGAGCAAGAATCTATCACAATAGGCTCCCACCCTTTTTCTCCCACCCATGTATCCCTCCCTCCTACCCCATGAGATCTTTCTAAATCAGAAATATGCTTTACATTATTACTTAAAGTCCTTCAGTGGTCCACCATGGCTCTTAGCTAGGGGTCACCAAACCTTTTCTGTAAAGAAAGAGCAGATATATATTTTTTAATGTTTTTTTATTTAATTAATTAATTAATTTATTTATTTATTTAGGAGAGAGAGAGTTCAAGCAGGGGAGGAGCAGGGAGAGAGGGGGACAGAGGAATCTGAAACTGGATCTGTGCTGAGAGGCTGACGGGAATGAGCCCAATGTGGGGCTCAAACTCATTAACTGCAAGATCATGACCTGAGCTGAAGTCAGACACTCAACTGACTTAGCTACCCAGGTGACCCAGAAAGAGCAGATATTTTAGGTCTGGTGGGCCACGTAGTCTGTTGGAACTCCTCAACTCTGCTTTTGTAGTGTGAAAGCAGCCACATACAACACATAATGAATGAGTCTGATTGAAGTCTAATAAAACAAAAACAAAGGGCAGACTAGATTTAGCCCATGGGCCACAATTGCCAATCCTGTTCCAAGCATGTCCAAGCTGTCTGGTCTGGCCTATGGGCAGCTTATGACCTGGCTTCCATTTAGTTTTATCTCCTGTCACTCCCTCTTCCCACTTTACTCTCCATCTCCTTACAATCCCTCAAATGTGCTCTGTGCTCTCAAGTATCTGTGACTTTGCATTTGCATTTGCTCTTTTCTCTTGCTAGAACCCCCTTCTGTCATCATATGCTTTGGAAACATGTCTTTGAAAACTCGTTGAGTTGACATCTTCCCTGTGCCTCCTCCACACCCTTGCCCTCCTTTTGTTGTCTTTTAGTTTGCCCCCACTTCCACAATTGCATCCAACCTTCTATTCTGGCATTACTTGTTGACATGTCCTTGCTCAGTTATGGAAGGAGATGATAACTGGTACAGAGATGCTTGAGAAATGTTGTTAAATTGAATTGAGACCAAAGTACCTTTCAGTATAGTGATTCCAGGTTTTCCAGAGACAATTCTATTGTTTTGCCTGTGGCCCCAACATAATTATTAATTCATGCTCCTTTCCATGCTCAGAAGTGACCCATATTTACCACAAATGATATGGGTTGCCCCATATCCTTTCAGGATCCTCTGCATCACAGTGGATCTAGGGGGCTGCCTGCTCAGCCTGTCTGCGGGACCTACAGTAGAAGGGCTCAGGTCTCCTTGCCAATGTTGGCCAGTGGAGCAACATCCACGGCTTCCGTAAGCCCGGGCCTGCACAGCTGTGGGACCAGGCCAAAGAGCATGCCACTGTACGGTCCATGCCTGTGCACATGCAGCCTGGTGGGCTAGAGCCAGTCAAGGCATCTGGCATAGTAACACTTTCAAGGAGGGCACAACTCCATGGCGGCCAGGAATCTCTGCCCTACCTATAACCCAGAACAACGCTAACTAAAGCTAGAACAGTGGAAAGAGAGTAATAGGGCTTCATGCTCAGTACAGGAAATCCTGTAAATCCAGTCCCACCAAGGGCAGGCCATTTGTGGTGCCTCTATGCACAAAGTAGGGATACTTCAGTGACCATCTCTCATCAAGGGTCAGAGGAATGGCTCCTGGACAAGGTACCCAGAAAAGAGAAAGAGAAATGCTGAATGACCATTTCCCCCCACAGCTGCTCCACTTGTTTGACAAGCAGTCTGGTTACTAGCCTTCTTCTGACCTTCCTCATTCTTCCCCCACACCTCAGACACTTCCATCTCTGTTCCCTGGGCCCCTCACAAGAATATGTAATGGCTACCTGGAAGTGGGACTGCATAAGGAGTCTTTGGTTCTTTGAAAGCCATCTCAAACCCAGGAGCATCAGCAGCTCAGAAATCAGAGCAAAAGGCAACTGAATGCATTTACCAAAATTGTGTCCCTCCGCAAGTGAATCTTGAGGGCTTATCTATACAGCCATCTCCCCAGAGCTGCTCTCCTAAAAGGTCAGCCTTATTATTCCAAGAATATTGAGCTCCTTCTCAACCCCATAGTTCTAACTCATGATCTTGAACCTATGCTCCTGACTTTCTGTTTAATAAATCATTTGGGTAGTTTTTGAATGATTCCTACTCCAAGCCCAGTAACATTCAGTTCTTCCAAAGGGGCATGCCTCCCCCATTGTGTCAGGCAATGCCCTGCTTCAGAAATATATGCCAATAAGCAAAAACGCAAACTTTGAAAACAAAGTGATCACCAGCAGACATTCAGAAGGATTCTTTGCATGTTGAGCAGAGTTTCATTACAAATTGAAAGTGCTCCTAAATTTGTTTGTAACTTCTTGAAGCAGAGACTTCAGGAACTGTCCCAAAGACCCTCTCTCAAACTATAGCAGAAGGAAACCAGGAATTAACCTATTCCAAACTTCTTAGAAACACTTCTTTTTTGCTCCCATCTCGACCTACATTACATAGAGCACATATGTATGCTTCACAGATAACCAAAAAATTTTAAAAATAAAATTTCAGCACCAAAAACATGACCAAACAATTTGGTGGTAAAATTTGTGAATTTTGAGATCTTCAGCAAATTGGTGATTTACTTGTCCACCATGCACAAGGTACTCCAGAGGCTTAGAATAAGGGTCATAGCTGAACAAAGAATGCTCCCTGATCTCAGTGAGCTATCCATTTAGAGGATAAATAAGAGAGAGTACAAATAGTTTACATAAGACAGAAAATGGGCTATGAGATTTTGAACAATTTATGTAATTTACTAAGGTGGCTTACTCAGCAATAAAAATGAAAGTCTGTATCTCAAAGAAGCTCCATAAGGATTAAATGAGATAATGTGGGTCAAGAGCATATACAATGCTGAGGAGCAGAACAGACCATCGTCAGATGTTAGCGTAGCTGTACAGCTCCTATAGTTATCATCACCATCTACGTGTGTCTTACGTGGTCATTTCAGAAAGTAGAAAGAAGAGGTTCTTCAGTTAGGAGAATCAAGGAAGGCTGAGTGGAGGAAGTGGAACATGAGAGTGTCTCTAGGGAGAGCAGATGGGATTGGAGGAGGAGGCCATGATAAGGGTGTGTGTGAGCTACAGCAGAAGGAAAGGGGTTCAGCAGGAGTGTAGGCCAGGCTCAAGCAGCTGCAGACAGGTCTGGCTGGCATGAAGGACACCTAAAAGAGAGAAACAGGAGGACAGAGGTTGAGATAAAATTTTGAAGGAAGTTCTACCTTCCCAGCTGTGATATTTGAATATTACCCTGTAGGGCATTCTGAGGAAAGAAGCAATATTCTGAGTTCTATCTGAGATACGTTTTTCTGGTAGGAGTGGACCAAATGGATGACAGCAGAGAGACTAATCACAAGGCTATTTTAATAGCGTGGGCATGAGATAAAGAGGGCCTAACAAAACTCAGAGACTATACAACACAAATGTAGGAGACATTCTGGAAGAAGATCAGCTGGCCTAATTTAAGGGAGAAGGTCAGACAGAGTCATCTTTTAGTAATTTGTAGATTTTGAACTTGGGTACAGATGCCATTAAAAAAGTTAGGGGACACAGGAAGAGGAACCAGTTCATTAGGGGCCAGGTGAGAAGACATCTGTAGCTATAGTGCCTGACTTGAAGCCTTCTACTGGCAAGAAGGCCTTGCATGGAAATTACTGTTTCCTCATCTGTGAAATAGGAATATCTGAGTATATTCCATAACTTCACAGAAATAGCTTTACTGATTTCTAAGTTTGGGCTTCTCAGGGGCTGGAGTCTCTCTAGTCATGATTCACTATAATTTGGGGAATAAATGAATTACCCCCTGTGAGCCTATTTATATCTTTTACTAGTTAGCCAAGAAGACTTATACAGGCTGGCACAGTCAACTATGGGCCCAACATTCTAAAAGCATCAACTTGGGAACCAGAAGGTGGGTTTCAATTCTTTGCTAAATGTCAGTCCTTTGGCTTATAAGATTCCAATAGCAGTTATTGAAACCCTATAATTTCTTGGCAACTTGGATAAAAATTATGATACTGTATCTGTCAGAGCCAGTCAGAAAAACAAACCATGCTAGGTATTTTAACAGAGAATATAATATAGAAGTTTGGTTAAATATGTGTTTGAGGACTGAAAAAGCAAAATGAAAACACTGAACTAATAACAAGGTAATAACTGCAGGCAATTGCCACCAGCACTAGGGAGAATGAAGTGAAAAGAATGGAGTGATTGGAACCTACAAGCTTAGAGAAAGATTCTGTGGGTCTGGGGCTCAGACCTCCATAAAGGGAGTACCACCCAGCTAGTGCTGCTCTCTGAGGGGTACACTGAGGCTAGCTCTAGAAAAGCTGGAAGAAGCTGAACTAGAAAATACTGCTGGATGAAGGGGTGACGCTGGCATGAGCAGCCAAACAGGAAGGAACAAATTTTTTCTGGACAAGCAACTACAAAACATAGAAACTGATTCAGATAATAGAACACACACTAGAAACAGTAAGCTATTCTCCTATAAGCCTCAAAGAAAAGAAACAACTTTTTTGGGGGGAGGAGGCATGAAAGTTCTTGTCCTAGTGGAATTAGTTGTGCCTAGAGATTGAGGTAGACAGACCCTGAGCTTGCCCCCACTAGTTTATGCCCTTGAATAATCTCATCCCCTGAGTGTAGGCAAGACCTGGGAATTGCTTTTAGCTAATAGAGTAGGCAAAGGTGCAGAGATGTTATTCCTTTGATTACATTACGTTATGTGGAGTCTATCCAGCCAAATACATTGAACAAGATTCTCCTGCAAGCCTTTAAGAGGCAAACATCCATGTTGTAAATTGCTGGTGGCTTCTAGCCAACCAAATCAGTCAACCACAAGGAAACAAATTCTTAACAAAACCTCAATGAGCTTGGAAACAGATCGTCCCTCAGAGGCCCCAGGTGAGACTGCAGCCCAGGTCAATGCCTGATTGCAGCCCTTCTGAGACCTTGAGCAGAAGCTTCACCTAAGCTGTGCCCTGACTCCTGATGCAGGGAAACTGTGTTAGTGAATTAAACTGTGTTAATCAATGTGAGTTGTTTTAAGCCACTTGATTTGTGGTAATTCGTTACATGGCAGTACAAAAGTAATAAAGGGATGATCCTTATTTTTCTATATCCCAACTATGTTCAACATCGACCTAACGTTTATTGAGCATTTGACATGGGCCAGGTGTTTTTAGTCTTCAAGAAGCCAGTTTAGTAGAGAAAGCAGGCAAGTAACCAGGCCAGTGGAGCTGGGCGATGTGATCATGTCTTAGGTGTGCCTCAGGGGCCTCAGAGCTGGGAGGAAGACAGGCTAACAAAACAGGAGTCTGGGGAGCCTTCAGAGGAGGAAGTCTTCATTAAAGGAAGATTGATTAGTTAATTAGGAAAGGGGGCTTGAGGCAGAAGTCCAAGAAAATCAGGTCGTTCTGGATTGCTGGTCAATTTTCTCCAACTTCATACATGTAGCAGAAATCAGAAATGGTTCTTCCGTAAATTGTTTTGCTTCCATCGGATTTACACTCATATTCCAGCATTCAATTGAAAATCCAGAATCCAGAAGAGGCAAAAAAATTTTTTTAAAAGTGTGCTTGAACTTAAATATGTCTCTTGATAGAGATTAGATTAGCGATTGTTTGTCTTAATAAACCGGCACTTCCTCTTGAAACTGTGCCCAAAACAACCTTAAAAAGCTCTGATTTCACGAACGTGTCACTTCCTCTCCACTCACAGCCCCCTTTTTCCTTCCTTCCCCTGGGTCTCTTTTTTTTTTTTTTTTTTAATGTAATGCTTTCACGTTTGAAATAATACCCCTCTTTGGCAGGCTGATATGCTATAACTATCATTTTTCTGGGGAGGGTTTTGATCTCAGCCAAGGTCACAAAAACAACAAAGCGAAGATCAATTCCTCACCCCAGAAGCCTCTAGAAGGGCTCCATGGCAGCTTTCTTGTCAGGGTCTACACTTGGACCAGCTTCCCACCAGCGCCAGGACCACCCAGGCGCCTGCCCACCTTGCCATAACTTTACCGAGACAGTTCTTCGGGATTCATACATGTGACTGGCTCAGCCATGCTGCTCACTTTGATGCTAGCAGGGGAAACTTTGCGGCAGAACGGAGAAAATGGGGACAAGCCCCTCCTGGCTCATGCTGGACCTGATTACAGGGCACAAAGAAGTAGAGGATGGAGCAAATGAAAACACAGAGGCAAGGGAAAAGTGACCATGGCCGCTTCCAACCACACCCAGGGAACCAACTGAGGGACCTTTTTGGGCAAAGACATAAGTCCCTGTCGCCACACCTGTCTATTTCACATCAGGTTTCCAAACATCTGCTGACAAACCTCTTACCCATCTCAAGTAATCATGGAAGCTGCTGGGGAGGAACCCTGTCTCCCCGAGTTCTCTAAAGTGCCTTATACTCCTCCTCCTGCTAGGGCAGTATAATTAGTAACGTATAAGCACTGCGGGGCTACCTTCTCCTTTAAGGTGGGCTATTAACTTTTCGGAGAGCATGAAGAGCTACTACTCTATTTTAAATAAAGCTAATGCCAAGGGACCCACATTCAAAGTTCTAAAACAGCAGCTACTCACCTACCACCACCCACAGATCAAACAATTGAGGTGTTTTTTTTTTTTTTTCCAGCTTGGCCTATTATTTATTTAGAATCAAAACTGATTTCTGTCCAGATGATGCAGTCATTCAAGCTAATATCTCAAAAAAGCATCCAATAGTACAGTCCCTCTCCCTTAAAAATATACCAGGGAGGTGCTGCAACAGTGCCCTGAGTAACTGTGAGCCGGCTTCTCCCAAGTATAAGAGTGCTAATGCTCAGCCCGGAATCACCTGCTTCTCCACACTTTGCCAGGACCATGCTCAGACCAGAAATGCTTCAGCTGACATGTCAGAGATAGAAGCCCAGGGGCCAAGGGCTCATTTCTTTTGGAGCCCTGGCCTTTGATGCATCAGTAGCCACTGGCAGTGACCTTGAAGCCAAAATTGTGAATTAATACTTGGTCTAGTCTTCCTTTTAATTTCTAGTCTGGAAATTGCAGGGAGGAAATCGGGGTGGGAAATGGATAGGTAGAAGGAAAATAAAAATAGAGCCTGTCTTTAAAAAAAAATACAATTAACTTAAAAATTAAAAATTAGATTAAAAAAAAAAAACAGGCACTAAGAGAAAAGTTTCCTTAAAGAACATCTTTGCTGTATGTCAATTAGTGAGCCTGTTCTCGCAGTAGGTTTTCTCTGCTGCCTCAGAGCCAAATCTTCAGCCTCCCACACAGATCTGTGAAACCAATTGTCTTCCCCAAACATGTGGTAACCACAGAGAAGTGAAATTAATAAAACTGCTCCAAAAGATGATTTCTAAAGATGACATTCCTACTCTAGTTTTAGGCTTTCTTTCCTGCGGCCAACTAGGGGCCTGAAATGGGGGTAGGAGTGGTTTGGTAAGGATCTGGGGCTTTTCTTTTTTTTTTTTAGAGTTTTTAGTTTAACATAGTTGTTTTTTACTGGGGGTTGGGAGGCAGAGAGGACTTATGGGTGGAAGGCAAAAGACCCCAAAGCCAGCAGTTATGAACAGATCCAGAGAGGCCTGTCATTCCTGACAAGCATGCATGTCAAAGCCAAGAGGGGTTGAGGCCTGTGATCAACAGCCCCACAAATCCCCTCTGTTTGTTTCTCCCATCCTCCGCCCCTTGGTTGAAGACTACCACTGAGGGCAGCGTGGACGACATACCCAACCTGCCAACGCATGAAGAAGGCCCAGTTCAGCCCCTGTCCTAACAATGCCAGGAAGACAAGCAAAGGCCATCAGTCTCCATTACGAAGACAGTATTTTCCTCTCATATTATCCCGTCTGTCATGTCCTCCTTGGACTCCAAAGGCATCACTGTCTCATACATCATCATCATTTTCTCCCCACAAAGATGGAGAGCCCAGGGGTGGGGTCCTTTTTGCCTCACATCCAGCCCTGGATGGCCAAGGGTCTTCCCCCAAGTGACAGAAGCAATGCTCAGCTACCAGGGGAGACATTTGCATTCCAATTAGGCCCAGAGCTTTGAAGAGTGGGGGAGGACAGCCAGTTTGTAAATCCAAAGTTTAAATAAACTTCCACAATCTCTGGAGGCTGGGAGAGGGCTCCGGTGACACTAGCAGGGAGGTAGAGGAAAAACCCCCAAATCAGAAGAGCTCATGGAATATGGATACACTGAATCTTGACAGAGCAAAGGCACATTGTCTCTGAGAACTTGAATATGTATTAATAGTTGTATATAATTAAACACGGGGTATACTATTTTGTTAAATTCTCACACAGTCTTGTTTTACATTTACAGGACATTTTTTAAGGGGTAAAATTGAGGCTTAGAGGATCAGCCAAAATTAGAAGAAACCTATTCGTCTGATTCTAGATTTTGACACTCCAGTGTTACTAACTGGTCAGCTATGGAACACTCCAGAACTTGTGCATATTTCCTAACTAAAAATGTTAATAGTTACTATTCATTGAGTCCTACTATGTGTTAGGTGCTGTTCTAAACATTTTGTGTACATGTTTTCATTTAATCTGCACCTTGAGAGAGAGATGTCACTACCAACATTATCTACATTTCCCAGCTGGGAAGACAAGGGTTTAGAGAAATTAAGTAACTCACTAGGTCCCCCACTAGCAGTTGCTGGAGTTAGGATTCAGACTCAGACTCTACTGTCGATAGAGAGCCAACATAAATACTGATTTGCTATCCAGTAGTCTGGACTATCACAGTAGAAGGAAACAACCATGGAGCATAGGAGCATTCATTACTGGATTCCTCACCAGCGTTAATCTGGATGAAAGCAATTGAAAATGAACCTCAAGGCAGGTCTCAAAGGAGAAAAGGTGGCACCAGAGTGAATGAGGAAGACCGAGGCCTTTCCTTGGTTTTGAGAGGGAAAGTTTATCAGCTAACAGGGAGTATGAGTTTAGTTTTTTTGGTGTCAGCTTATGGAGTCACAGCTTGCTCTCTGGCAGGCACTGCCCCTGGGCAGAGAGAGAAGCGCCTGGGGACTGCCTGCCTGGTGACAACCAGCATGTAGGGCTGGCTCCTAGGCCTGTCAGCAGGGTGGGGCAGCACACCCTTTCAGCCCTGTCTCTGCTTGAAGGAGGCCCTAGCTTGTCCTGGGCCCCTAAAAGTTTGACCTGGGTAATTCTACTACATGGAATTCTACCCACTTTCTTAGAAAAGGGCTGCTGTCATGCCCAGTGTTAAGGCAGCAGCAAAGAAACCCAACCCAGCTCAAAATGGTTGTAAGAGACACTGTGGTTTCCTAACTACCTGTCAGCCATCCCCTTTCTTTCTGTTAATAGAACCTGGATCTTGTTCAGCTAACCCTCCTCCTCACAGTTCAATGTTTCACTACACCCATATGGTAACTCCATTCCCCTTGCCAGTAAGCAACTAAGGAATGGACAAATGACAGAATTGTGGCCAATCAGTTGTGAAGGGATATATGCAAGAGGGCTCTGGAAAGGTTTCTGCACTGAATTAAAAAAGACACACACACACACACACACACACACACACACACAGTAATGATGTGAAGGCCAGAACTACAACAGCCATGTTGCTACCTCAGCCAATCTCTCCTGAGAACTATTCCAATCATCGTGAGAAGGGGAGTCTAAAATGATGGAAAGAACTTGAGTCCTTGAAGGCACTGTTAAGTCACCAAATTAACCAGCCCCAGAACTCTCCTACCTTGGAATTTTGATTATGTAAGATATAAATTTTTCATCATGTATCAATAGAGTACAGTGCAGGAAACACTGGTAAAATGAGGTTAAATAAGATAATCTACACTAAGCACTTTCGACAGTGCCTTCTAAGTAGGAAATTTTAGCTATGATTATATCCTTCATATGTGTTTTAAGCTCCCAGCTCTGTCTTCTCTCTTGCCCTTTGAGTAAAAAGGATAATAATGAAGGTAGCTGGTCTATGTAATCCACTTCAGGTCTTCAAGAAGTCTCAGAAATATTCAACCTAAAACATGTATGTTGAACCATGGCAATAGTCTGAACGGAATCTATGCAAAGCAAAGGGGTTCAGAGGTTTGAGCTAAGACTACCACCTTATCTCACCTGACTACAAAATCATAAAAACCCACAATAAAGGGATATAGTTTAGAGGTTTCTTGTGAATTTCCTGGTCATTAGCTGAATCAAAACTGAAAGTAGTATCTCTCCTCTTCCTTGTAAACTGCACACTTTATGAAGAAAAAGCAATAATATTCCCAGCCAACATGTGCCTGTTATATAATAAATACATATTAAAGATTCTTAGAAAAGGGTGTGATTTATAGTTGGATCCTGCCAGCTACTCTGAAAGCATACCATTTTTCATGTAAAGCTAATTACAGGATTCTTAATTAGCAAATCTTCCATTCAATAGATGAGACAATGAAGATTTTTCACAGCAATTGTAATATTTAGTTCTCTTTTTCTCATTTTAACAAAGCACACTAGAAAGATACCATTTATAAAAATCTCTGTTCAAGGCCTGCAAAGCTTATAACCTGGAAATGGTCAAGGAGAAGTGGGGTATGTGTACCCTCCCACCCTTGACTTTGACTTGCTTTGGGGTCTGTAGCAACTCATGTCCCTTCAGGTCTCATTTTTCCCACCTATGAAATGGGGAGGTTAAATCAGATTGGAGTTTCTCAACCTCAGCACTGTTGGCATTTTGGACCATATAACTCTTTAGAAGTTTGGCAGCATGCCTGGCATTTACCCACTAGACGTCAGTAGCACCCCCACCCCCAGCCTGCCCCAGTTAGGACCATCAAATATATCTTCAGACATTGCCAAATGTCTCCTGGGGTGGGAAGGCAAAATCACCCCAGCTGAGAACCACTGAATTAGATCAGGGGTCATAAATGCAAGCAAAGATCAAGCTATTATACAAATGAGAGAAGTAAGCAAGATGAAAGAAAGGCAAGTTTGAGAACATTTATCCAATCAAAATGGGAGAACACTCTTTACCTCCAGTGGACACTCACCGTATGTTACAGTTGTTCAAGAGAGGGAATGAATCCCATGATTCCGTGAAATTGCTTGACTTTTTTTTTTTTTTAATGTTGGCGACTCCTTTTTTGTAGCAGTTAGGAAGATACTTTCTGGAACTACGCCGTCTGAGTTCAGACCCCAGGTTTACCTCTTACTGACTCCAATATTTGGCAAGTTCCTTAACATCGCTAGGCCTTGGGTTTCTCACCTGTAAAATAAAGACAATAATAATACTCATCTCATAAAATAATTGTCAGGATTAAATAACACAAAGCATGTGAAGTAAGAGCTTAATAAATATTGGCTATACTTATTCCTAAGATATAAAAGTACTATAAGCAGGGTGTCTTTGGTTAAGTGGCTGACTCTTGATTTCAGCTCAGGTCATGACCTCATGGTTCATGAGATTGAGCCCCTCTCCCACTTATTCTCTCCCTCTCTCTCTCTCTTTCTCCTCTCTCTCTCGAAATAAATAAAAACTAAATAAAAATGAGATTTAAAAAATACTATAAACTAAACTAAATATAACTATAGGTCAGATTCAGCTTTAAAACTACAGGTTTACAACTCTGAACTACAGGATTCCAAGGATTTGTTCAGGTTCCCTAAGGTTTTATGGTTTCATTTTATGGGAGCAAGGACATGATTAGCCTCTGATTATTTCTCTAGAATCTAGTTGAGGAGACAGAGCTCTGGACACCACCAAACAGAACAGAATTCTAATCAAATGGCAAAATATGTGTTCTTGGAGATCAGAAACAGCGGTTGAAGAGTCATCTATGCTTTTCATTTAAGAAAAGACTGGATTTTGCTTCTCTTTTTAAAAAATGTACATGAAGGAGAAGAGCATCAAATTTGGAAACTGACATCCTCAACAGTATCCTCTTAACAGATGCCATGACAATACAATGAGTTATTGTCTACTTTCTAGCTAAAACCAATTGACAATTATAAGTTGGTATCATTAGCCCAATTGCTTTTCAGTGAGATAGCTGATAGAGGCAATAATAGATTGGCTTCTCCATCCTTATCCTCCCACTGGAAAACAACATATCCACTCCTGATCAATACTTTGATCTGAGTTACTTATAATGCTGTCAGACATGAGTGTCTGCTTCACTCCAGGGTGAAGAAATAATATAGTTTTGCAAAATTTAGGCCAGACATTACACTGCCTTGGGTGAGCTGTTATTCTGGTTTGGAGCCTTATAACCAGATGAGCACTGTAGAAGATTATGGAAAGTAAAAGGGCAGCTGCCTTTAATAACAATAATAATAATAAGTGCCCTACCTTTATTAAAACCATGTCAGGAAGACATGGAGTAGAATGGCTCATGGTAGCCCCTGTGTTTGAATGACATCTCAGGAAAATGAATTGAGAACTTGCCTTACATGCTTTAAAATAAAAGTTTTTTTTTTTTTTTTTTTACAAATAGTTTATTGTCAAATTAGTTTCCACATAACACCCAGTGCTCATCCCCACAAGTGCCCTCCTCCATGCCCATCCCCCCTCCCCCCCTCCATCCATCAGTTCTCAGTTTTTATCAGCATTCAAGAGTCTCTCATGGTTTGCCTCTCTCCCTTTCCCCCACCATTTCCCCCCTTCTTCTCCCCCATGGTCCTCTGTTAAGTTCCTCCTAATCCTCCTATACATGTAAACATA